TAAATAAATAAATAAATAAATAAATAAATAAATAAATAAATAAATAAAAAGGCCTGAAAATGTAGCTCAGTTTGGATACTCTTGAGTTCAGGCCTCAGTACAAGGAAAAATAAAATAAAATTTTCTAAAGGAAGCAAGGGGGAAAAGAAGGAAAGGAGGGTGGAAGGGAGCAGGCAAAAGGAAAACTCTCAGCAACACAGCTGGTAAATAATGACTTTGTAAAGGAGAATTATCACGTTCATGTCGGTGCCGTAATTTGTATATCTCTCTGCTGGGCAGGTTGAGCTACCAGTGATACGTGCATGATTATACCACTTATATCACCAGAGGTACAGCTGCCCAAGAGGACCACGTGTACCTTGGTAGTTCGGACTGAAGGGAAAATGTTACTCTTCTGTATTTCTTTGCTTTTCACCTTTGCAAATAGTAGTAACTGCTTCATATTTAAGTAGCAATGAATATATGGCCACTGTTCATACAAACATTGTTAGACGTCGCTATTTTTTGCTAGTGTCATAGTGATCTTAACTAACTGAGTTTGTATTACTTTACAGAACAGTCTTTCCAAATCATACAGTGAAGAGAGTAGAGGATTCTAGCAACAGCGGACAGGCACATATTCATGTGGTTGGAGTAAAACGGAGGGCTATACCACTTCCCATTCAGATGTACTATCAGCAGCAACCAGTTTCTACTCCTGTTGTTCGAATTGATTCTGTTCCTGATGTATCTCCAACTCCTTCACCTGCAGGTATTAATTTTTTTCTGTTTCATTTGTTACTAATATAATAAAACTGATAAGCCAGGGATTTAGCTCAGTGGTTCCAGCACCTGCCCCACGAGCTCAAGGGCCCGAGTGTGATCCCCGCTACCCCCCCCAAAAAAAAACTGATGAATTAGGCTTCTATTGTATTCATATGGCTCAAAGTTGTTGTATATTAATTTCTTTAAATTATTTTCTCTTATATTAAGTAAAATAATTCCTATTTGCATTTTTCAGTTATTTCAATTGAAATTTTTATTTTTAGGAATCCCTCTTGGATCACAGACTGTAGGAAATCATTTTCAGAGGACTCCTGTTACCAACCAATCTTCAAATTTGACTGCAACACAAATGTCTTTTCCAGTACAAGGTATTCATACTGTGGCACAGACTGTTTCAAGAATTCTACCAAATCCTTCAGTTCACACCCACCAGCAACAAAATGCTCCAGTGACTCTCATTCAAAATAAAGCTCCAGTTCCTTGTGAAGTTGTAAAAGCTACAGTAATACAGAATTCTATACCCCAAACAGCAGTTCCTGTTAGTATTGCTGTTGGAGGACCTGCGCAGAGTTCTGGGGTTCAAAACCATAGTACAGGCCCACAACCTGTTACAGTTGTGAATTCTCAGACATTGCTTCACCATCCATCTGTAATTCCACAGCCGTCTCCATTACATACAGTGGTACCAGGACAGATACCTTCAGGCACTCCTGTTACAGTAATTCAGCAGGCTGTCCCACAGAGTCATATATTTGGTAGAGTACAGAACATACCAGCTTGTACTTCTACAGTTTCACAGGGTCAACAACTAATCACCACATCACCCCAACCTGTGCAAACTTCATCTCAACAGACATCAATGGGTAGCCAGCCGCAAGACACTGTTATCATAGCACCCCCACAGTATGTAACAACTTCTGCATCCAATATCGTCTCAGCAAATTCAGTGCAGAATTTTCAGGTAGCTACAGGACAAATGGTTACCATTGCTGGTGTCCCAAGTCCACAACCCTCAAGAGTAGGGTTTCAGAACATTGCACCAAAACCTCTCCCTTCTCAGCAAGTTTCATCAACAGTGGTACAGCAGCCTATCCAACAGCCACAGCAGCCAACCCAACAAAGTGTAGTAATTGTAAGCCAGCCAGCTCAACAAGGTCAGACTTATGCACCAGCCATTCACCAAATTGTTCTTGCTAATCCAGCAGCTCTTCCAGCTGGTCAGACAGTTCAGTTAACTGGACAACCAAACATAACTCCATCATCTTCACCATCACCTGCCCCAGCTACTAATAACCAAGTCCCTACTGCAATGCCATCTTCTTCCACCCCTCAATCACAGGGACCACCTCCTACAGTCAGTCAGATGCTATCTGTGAAAAGGCAGCAACAACAGCAGCATTCACCAGCACCCCCACCACACCAGGTACAGGTACAAGTTCAGCAGTCACAACAAGTCCAGATGCAGGCTCAGCCTCCACCAACAACTACAGGAGTTAGTCAGCCTGCTTCTGGTGAGTCAAGTCTGATTAAACAGTTGCTGCTTCCAAAGCGTGGCCCTTCGACTCCAGGTGGTAAGCTTATTCTTCCAGCTCCACAGATTCCTCCCCCTAATAATGCAAGAGCTCCTAGCCCTCAGGTGGTCTATCAGGTGGCCAATAACCAAACAGGTGGTTTTGGTGTGCAAGGGCAAACCCCACCGCAGCAGCTATTGGTTGGGCAGCAAAATGTTCAGTTGGTCCAAAGTGCAATGCCACCCACAGGGGGAGTACAAACTGTGCCCATCTCAAACTTACAAATACTACCAGGCCCACTGATCTCAAACAGCCCAGCAACCATTTTCCAAGGGACTTCTGGCAACCAGGTAACCATAACAGTTGTGCCAAATACAAGTTTTGCAACTGCAACTGTGAGTCAGGGAAATGCAACTCAGCTCATTGCTCCAGCAGGAATTACTATGAGCGGAACACAGGCAGGAGTTGGACTTCAGGTGCAAACACTTCCAGCCACTCAGACTACTCCAGCTGGACAATCATCATGTAGTACTGCTACTCCCCCATTTAAAGGTGATAAAATAATTTGCCAAAAGGAGGAGGAAGCAAAGGAAGCAACAGGTTTACATGTTCATGAACGTAAAATTGAAGTTATGGAGAACCCTTCCTGTCGACGTGGATCTACAAACACCAGCAATGGAGATACCAAGGAAAATGAAATGCAGATGGGAAGTCTTTTAAACGGGAGAAAATACAGTGACTCAAGTCTACCTCCTTCAAACTCAGGGAAAATTCAGTGTGAGGCTAATCAGTGCTCACTAATCAGTAATGGGCCATCATTAGAATTAGGTGAGAATGGAGCTTCTGGAAAACTGAACTCAGAACAAATGGATGTACAGGATATCAAAAGTGATTTGAAAAAAACCCTAGTTAATGGAATCTGTGATTTTGATAAAGGAGATGGTTCTCATTTAAGCAAAAACATTCCAAATCACAAAACTTCCAATCATGTAGGAAATGGTGAGATATCTCCAGTGGAACCACAAGGGACTTTGGATGCTGCTCAGCAAGATACTGCCAAAGGTGATCAACTAGAAAGAATTTGTAATGGACCTATATTAACTTTGGGTGGTTCACCATCTATGAGCAGTATGCAGGAGGCTTCAAATGTGACAACACAACAATTTAGTGGTACTGATTTGCCTAATGGACCTCTAGTTTCAAGTTTGAATTCAGATGTGCCTCAGCAACGCCCAAGTGTAGTTGTCTCACCACATTCTACAACCTCTGTTATACAGGGGCATCAAATCATAGCAGTTTCCCACTCAGGATCAAGAGTTTCCCATTCTCCTGCCCTATCATCTGATGTTCGGTCTACAAATGGCACAGCAGAATGCAAAACTGTAAAGAGGCCAGCAGAGGATAATGACAGGGAAACAGTCACAGGAATTCCAAATAAAGTAGGAGTTAGAATTGTTACAATCAGCGACCCCAACAATGCTGGCTGTAGTGCAACAATGGTTGCTGTGCCAGCAGGAGCAGATCCAAGCACTGTAGCTAAAGTAGCAATAGAAAGCGCTGTTCAGCAAAAGCAACAGCATCCAACAACATACATACAGAATGTGGTCCCACAGGTAAGTAAGTCTGCTGTCATATTTCTCTTAGCATAATACTACTCTGATTTATAAATACTGTATGATTTTAGGGGGAAACACTGTTTTTCCATTTCCCACCTTGAAAAGTTATTTCAGCTTATTTGTATACTCAGACTGTCCTGCTTTTTCTTTAGTTTTATAAGTGTTCAGTCATTAAAATATGATATAAAGAATTTCTCCATTTTGTTACAGACCCAAATTAGAAACAGTTGCTTATCAAACAATTTTGAAAAATATAAAAATGTGTTTTGTCTCCTTTTGAGTTTACTGTGGGTGGTAATGGACACTTCCTAAGATTATTCCAAAGGAGATTTCTTTGTTTGATTTTGGGTATGGATTTATGGCCCTTTAAATAGTCTCAGTAAAAAAAAAAAAATGAATCCAATAAGAAATTTTTTTTTTCTTTTGGTGCCAGAGATCGAACTCAGGACCTTGCACTTGTGAGGCAGGTGCACACTGCTGAGCTAAATCCCCAGCCCTAAGAACTTTAAAATACATTCTTAATATGTTTATGCATTGGTTTCTTTTATTTTTAAAAAGTGTTCTTCATTGCAATTTGTTTCAGATACTCTGTTATTTTTGTATTTCTCATTCCTTGGCTATATGCTGTCATGTTCCTGCTATTCCCTTTTTAACTCGTTCTATCCCGTCTGTGCATGCCCTATTAGTAAATAAAAGTATTTTCTAGGATCCATTCTACTGAATTGAGGACCCAATCTTAAATGATCTTTCTACTGAAACCATAGAGTCCCCTAACAGTTATTATCACTTGTTTTCTGAATCCTTCAGTTTCACTCTGTCTTTCCCAGTTAATGCACTGCCACATGCTTTTGTGACTTGCCAAATGTGCTAGTGTTCTTCTGGCTTAGGTCTCTGCTTATAGTGATGACAGCAGAACTATGAATTTGATTGGCATTAGTGTTATATCTGTAATGGTGATAGCAAAATAAAATACACAACAAAAAAGAAAAGTGCCTTGCTCCAGACCAGTTCTTCCACAAATATTTACGTTTCTTTGAGTGAAAGGATAAAGTTGTACTGTGCTGCTCTGGGCATAATGGGATTTTTAATTTATATGTTTGTACTGCCTAGATCTAGTGACTGAAATGTACATTAGTAGATGCAATGTACATAACAATAATAAATGATGGGTAGAAAATATGAAGTTGTTTTTATATAGCATTCCCAAGGTGTTTTTCATTTAACTCGTGCAATTCTGAATACATAGTAGACATCCAAGTAAGTTTTTTGTATTATTTAATAATTTTTTCAGTTCCTCCTCATTATGTGACTTTTTTTCCCCTAGATATCTAGTTATAATAGACCAAGCCAAAATAGAGAAAAGCTCCATTACTATGGAATTGTTTCATTAACCCTTGTTTTGTGTGTCCTTAATCTTCCAGTGTGGTTATATTCAGTACTGATTTCAATAACAAAGAATGAACAAGAATACTAGCTAAGATTGGGACCTGTGCTTAGGGACCTTGTACTGAAGCATATTCTCATTTAATCCTCACAATAGTTCTATTAGGTAAGAATTGTTATCACCATTTCAGAGGTGAGAAATGAAGATGTTGAATAACCCACCTAAGGTCACCAATTAATATGAGGTGGTTACCAGGACTAAAACTTAGGAATATTTGAAACCAAAATTAATGCTCTTAACCCCTTTAACCTTTCTTTTCACCGCTAGACTAAAAGATTGTTCTGTAAAATTCTAGGAAGCCCTTTTTGTCTCACATTTTGATTATTAAAGTAATGTGTTATAGAAGTAAGAACTACTAAGTGATCTTTTTAATGTTAAAACTACTTAGCACAGTAGTCATGTATAGGCCATTAAAAGGAGAGTATATTTTATTTCTAATATGAAAAATCTGACTTAAACTTAAACTTCTGCGCAGCCTCTCCAGTTATGTAGTTTATTTAAAATAGTTACACTGGGCTAGAATTAGCTTATACATGAAGCCCTGTGTTCATCCTCAGCACCACAAATGAAAAAACTATTATTTTTTTTTATTATTTGGAAAATTGCTATTAGGTTGGCCTGCAGAAATTAAAAACTTTGCAAGGAAAATGGTATAACCTGATTGGCATCTATGAAAATTTAAAAATCCAGGATCCTTATGTATAGCACTTACTATGATGCCTACCACATAGTTGGGCATTTGCCAATGGAGCAAGTATATTTTAGATTAATATAGAAGGTTAATGATTTTCATGGGTAGATATATAGAACAGATCAAAAAATCAACTGCACGATATTATTATAAAAGTTTTTTTTTAATAGCCATTAGTCCTTTCCATTGTTGTCCAGATTCTTTAAGTTTTTTTTTACATACTCTTATTCTGCATTTTAGACTGTAGTTTAACACCATTTTATTCACAATTCAAATTGATAGATTAAAGCATTCTAAAATAGAGGACTTAAAAAGTGATTTTCTCAGCCAGACTTTTTATTCCCACCATTTTAAGAGATTCTAGGGATTTTAATGAAGCAACCGGTTTTCAGGAAGGAACTTCTAGACTTGTAAAACGCTTAGGGATAGAAAGCTGCAGGGAAAGCTTTCCCTTCCTGCAAAAAGCTAATATGTCAACCTTCCTGATACCTTTATTATTTCATATTTTCTTACTGATTTTGTTCCTTATTGCCTCTGCTAATCGACTACTAATTTCATTATAGAAAAAAGTAGCAACAAGTAAAAGAAGAATATATATGAAAGTAACGGTACAATTAAAGACTGTGTATTTAAATAGTATTTACCTGGGCATTTTACATACATACAAAATAAAGCCAATCATGATGGTACATGCCTTTAATCCCAGGACTTGAGAGGGTGAGGCAAGACTGTGAGTTTGAAGCCAGCATGGGCTACATAGTAAGTTCAAGGCTGGCCAAAACTGTATACCAAGACAGTCTGAAAAACATATTTTTTTTTTTGTCTACTTCAAGATAAATTTCCTTATTGTAGCTGCTTATTTAAAATCTATTTGCAAGTTCAAATGCAGCCTACATGTTACCATTTCCAGATGTCCTGTCCTCCAGATGTCCTTCCAGATGTCCTGTCCATTATTCATGAATTGATACCTGGAGCCAAAAAACTAGATTGACATACAATGTGTGATCAGCATATATGGTGAATGTTTAAATTTTAAATATTACAATAAAAGACAGATTGCCATTAGTCCCCCTCCATATACTCTACCTTGCTTTGAACACATTTTGCTCATTGTTCTTGTTACTTTCTGAATCAGTTCTGGAAGTCATCTTTCTTCATATTTTAATGAGGTATGTTAAAAATACAGTGAATGCTGCTGCTGTGTGCTATCCCAGGGAAAGGCAGGCTTGTAAAAACATTGCACTGCATCCACATGGTAGCTTATTCACCAGATCTGGCACTGTGAAATTTGTGACTCTTCCTAAAGTCAAAATAACCATGAAAGGTAAACACTTGGAGTCAGTTTATGACATCAGGGCAGCACAACAGCACAACTAAAGATACTCATGAAGAGGACTTCCAGAACTGCTACCAAAAGTGGCAAGAATAACGTGTTCAAAGAAAGGGAAAGTATTTTGAAGGATATTTTTGACAATGTGTCTTTTACTGTAATAATAAACGTTTCTTTTAGCATTCGGTGTATTTTTCCATTTTATTAAAAGAAAAATGAATAAAAAATAACACGATTACCTGAAGACTTTCTTAGCATCATGCAAAAAACATGCTGAACATACTCATAACTGATAATCTCATGATCTGATAAATTGTCAGAATCTTGCATGTAAAAATAATTTGCTAAAGCAATGATTTGCTTGAGGATATGCCTGCTTAAGGTGTTTTATATACACCTTGTCTTCCTGTTCTTCCAACAGGAAACATTCCTGATGTGGTTCTGTTTAATTCTGAATATTGGTGTCTTTCTGATCTCTTCCTCTTTTTGACAGTAAGCTTGAGAAATTTGTTCAGCCCATCAGAAAACAGATCTATATCCTGAAGAGGGCACCTCTTGCATACATTGTATTTTAGCAAAAGCCTCAAGGATATCACTTCAGTGTTTTTTAAGTTTCTTACTCAGATTTGTAGAGCAGCACGTTGTAAATGCTATGGAAGGTGTTGCCACTGAATGTAACTTCTTTGTTTCTTTTTCTGTGTGTTCTTCCAAAATAGGCTTGATGTAGCCAGACATGGTTGCTCATGCGTATAATCCTAGCACTTGGGAGGCCAAGACAGGAAGATCACCATGAGTTCAAGGCTGGCCCCAGCTACATAGTGAGTTTGAGACGAGCCTGAACTACATAGCAAGATTCTGTCTCCAATATATATATATGTAGAGAGAGAAAAAAATGTATATTCATTATCTAGATTTATACTTACTAATCAGAAAAACATGGTAGAGACTGAGTATCCATCATCGGAAATGATGAAACCCAAAAGTGATAGAAATTTTAGACCTTTTCCCAGAATTTAAAATATTTACATATACATAATCAGACATATTCTAAATATAAAATTTATTTATGTTTCATATGCACATAGCCTGCAGGTGATTTTGTACAATATTTTAAGTAATTTTGTTTATGAAATGAAGTCTCACAGTGTGGAATTTTGTACTTATGGCATAATGTCTGCACTAGAAAAGTTTCAGATTTTGGAGCATTTCACATTCCATATGGATTTTTGGATTAGTGATGCTCAATATACAATTTTTAAGAAAACAAGGGACTCTTAGAGCAAACAAATCTTAGTATATTGTCCAAAGATCTTAGTTTTTCAGTGATTTTGACTTTCTCAGTGCTGTTTTATAAATATGTACATTTAGCCTAAATATAATCACATGTAGAACAAACTAATTCTTGTTCCCTTAAAGGTTTTAAAGGTATCTTTCCTTACTTCCCTCTTCTTCGGAATACACTTTACCAATTACTTACGTTGGCTTTAGATATCATGGTGTCTGCTTTAGTCACCATCCCATTTACCTCAGCTGACTCCACTCTATAAACAGCTTTCAAAATGTGCAGCTACCCTGGGACACAATATTTCATTATTGCAAAGAATTTAAGGATAACAGATTATAGTTTTGTGGCTTTTTTGACACAGACCAAAATGCTTAATTTTTAGTCCTATTCAATAATAACTAGAGATCTAAAAGTATGCAAAGTATTACCTGTGTTATGTAGAATTTAGCCATTTTTTGAAAAGATGGAAAGGCAAGATTATAATTTATTTTAACAAAAAGCAGTATTCTTTCCAAATCTAAAATTGCTATATTCACTAACAGTTAATTTTATACTGCACAAAAAGTCACAGGATTGTTTTCATGTCCTTTATATAATTTTACATTTCTGGTCTCTCATTGAAGTTGTACTTTTCCACTTTGATTACAAAAAGTAATATAAAGAGGGCCAGGGATTTTAGCTCAGTGGTTCTGCTACCTGCCTCACAAGCTCAAGGTCCGGAGTTAGATCCCTGGTACAAAAAAGTAGTATGAAGAATTAGCTAGCTCTTCCTAATTAGAATAGAGCAGTGATATAGAATATTCTTTAACAGCTGATTGATTGTTCCTAAAAGTATGCATAACTTAATTCTGCATTTATGTTCAAGTTATGGCTATGGCTTATATTCTGCCAATTCACAGTAAATGCTAAAGTGCAGAAAAAATAAACTTTTACAGCTTAGAAAAAAATGTATTTTGCATTCTCATGCAAAGGATGTCATGCTTTTTTTTTTTTTTTCTTTTTTGTTTTTTGGACTGAGGATTGAACTCAGGACCTTTTGCTTGCGAGGCAGGCAGCGAAATCACTGAGCTAAATCCTTGGCCCCACAAAGGATGTCATTCTTAAAGCACAATTGACTTAATCGATACTTTGAAAAGTATGCAATACTAAAAAATAGAGCCAGTAAGCCTCCATTGTAGCTATTACCTGTCTTTAAATATTATCAACATTTTACTATTCTTATTTATTCTATTCCCTACCACTTTTTTTTTCCTGGATTACTTTCAAGCAAATCACAAACATTTCATTTCACTGTATATTACTGCCTCTAACAATCACAGAGTTTTGAATATATACGTAAAACTACAATATTAAATTTTATCTAACCAAAGTAGTTCTTTTTCTTCTTTCATACACTAGGGATTGAACCCAGGATCTCACACATGCTAGGCATGCATTCTACCACTGAGCTACATCCTCAAACTTTTTTAAAATCTTATTTTGAGATAGGGTCTCACTAAATTGCCCAGGCTGCCTCAAACTTGTGATCCTTCTGCTTCAGACTAGGTGTGATCACAGATGTGAAACTAGGTGAGATCCAATTTTACCCATGCCTGATAAAAGTAGCAATTTCTTAATATTACCTGATACCCAATTTATCTTCAATGTTTCCTCAGTTATCTTTTAAAAATACAGCTTGTTTGAATTAGGATCTCAAAAGTGTCTACATATCACCTTTAGTTAATAAGCCTTTATTCATTCTTAATTTAACAGATTAACTTTAGTCATTCTTGATACATCTCTTGTTAACATTTGAGATTAAAATACTACATGATACCCTGTTGCTGAATTTTCTGTGATACCAGTAATAGTTGCACACAATTACAAGGAAGAAGTGAAGATTAAAGTTTGTTAGCACTTACAAAAATAAAATGAGGACTAATTTACAAATTTAGGACAGGCTAGTCAATAAAATATCTAACTGAAATAATAACAGTACAGAGAAACAAGTTTCTTTCACAGGAAATTTGACACTATTAACAAATTTACCCTTTAAAGTTCTGAGCCATACACCCTCTGGTGGACACGTGTAGTCTTACTCAAGAGGCTGAGGCACAAGGTTTTCAAGTTTTAAGACAACCTGAGAAACTTAGCAGGACCCTGGCACAAAAAAAAAAAAAAAAAAAAATGGACTGGGATGTAGCTCAACACCAGAGTGCTTGCCATTCGGGTAGAGGGCCCTGAGTTCAATCCTCAGTACATACTCAGTAGGAGAAATTGTAACATTTTAATAACTTCTCAAGATTTAGATTTGATCAGAACTGATGTTCTTTGTTACTCCTTGGTTTTTGTTTTGTTTTGGGGGTTTGTTTGTTTGTTTGTTTTTGTACCAGGGATTGAACTCGGAACCTTACACTTGCAAGGTAGGCAGCAAAACCAATGAGCTAAAATCTCTGTCCCTCTCCTTGGCTTTTAATTTTCATGTCAAGTTTCCCTTTCCCTTTTTCTTCCTTTTTCTTGGACCTTTTTTTTTTTCTTCTGTCTGCTTTATTTTTTATTTATTTATTTATTTTTTGGTACTGGGGATCGAACTTGGGTCCTTGGGCTTGCAAGGCACGCCACCAAACCACTGAGCTAAATCCCCGGCCCCTTTGTCTGCTTTCTTAGCACCTCCAATTTTATGGTTTTAAAAATATGCAAAGACTCAGATCTAGTTTCTAGTATTGATTTATATTGATAGATATTTTTTCTTGGGTTACCTCATTTTCCTCAAACTGAATTTATCATCATCTAACATCTCTTTCCTACATAATCAGTCTCCCTTCTGGACCTCTCTATTGTCACTTTGACATCTGTATGCTCCTACAGTGTTTTTCATGCATGTATATGTTTTCCCACTAACTATTGTAAAATTTAAGGGTAACAACAGTACCTCCTCAAATTAGATTGTGCATGCTGGTTAGAAGTCAAAAGATCTTATAACTCTTGTTTCTGATCTTTTTTCTTTCAGCATTGTTCTTTAATTTGTATAATTTTATAACCTTATATATTTTGTCTTTTTTAATTACTGTTTTTATTCTGAGGTTCTCAGCAGTTTAATAATGACCCAATATAGTCAATGTTTCCCAAAGTTTTATTGTCTTAAACAGTGCTTGAAAATTTTATGCCACCATTTCTCTAAGAAATGTATTTTTCCCCCTTTATGGTATTTTAAGAAAATGTAAATTTCCTAAAATTATTTTAAACTATCTTTAATTCGTTAGTGTTTTTCAGATAGAAAAGGATGTGATGCAGAAGAAAAATAATACGGGGTTATATTTAAAAGACATTTTGCTTACAATTATAATCATTTCACTGCTCTCCAACAGCTACAACTGAACAACTTCAAAGACTAAAATTATTAAACATTTTATTGCAAATTAGTTAATATTTATGATACTCCATGGTTAGGTCAACTGTAATCTGAAATTTTCTTTGCTTTTTACCATATATTGTTTCATACTTTTTACAAAATATAAATGAGGGCCAGGGATTTAGCTCAGTGTTCCTGCGCCTGCCACTCTAGTGCAAGGTGCTGAGTTCAGTCGCCAGTACCATTAAAAAAAAAATCTAAATGGAAATACTACTCAAGAAGTAATAACTTGTAGTTGATCTGTTATTGCGAAGAACAGATAAGTCAGCTGGTTATGCTTAAGTGTATTTTTTATTTAAATACATTATTGGGTTACTCCTACCTAAAAATGTTAATTTTGATAATACAATCTGCCCTCCATGACTATGGGCTCCATATCATGAATTTAATCAACTTTGGATCAAAAATGTTAAGGAAGAAATGCATCTTGTACTAAACATGTACTTCTTTTCTTGTCATTATTCCCTAAACAGTATAGCGTAATAACTGTGTAGCATTTACAATGTTTTAAGCATTGTAAATAATGTAAAGATAATTTAAGTGTACAAGAAGCTACACATCAGTTACATGCAATCATTTTGCCATTTTATGAGACTGAGCATCACAGATAACTGATATATATATGGAGATCCTGGAACCAGTCCCCCATAGATACCCAGATGAAAGTATGTATTTGGTAATGGTAACAGCAATGCATCATCTTGCCTCTGTGGTTCCATATTAAATAAAAGAATCATACTTTCTAAATATTTTTGTAAAAGTAATCATCTTTTTAAAAAGATAATCATTAGCTTGCAGTTACAAAGTGTAATTTCATGTTAGAAATGAATGTTGTAATCAGACAAAAGATGGTACTATAAAATAATTACTGTTTTCAAGTATCATATCACAAACTCTGTGTTTCTTCTTTTTCACAGAACACTCCTATGCCATCTTCTCAAGCTGTACAAGGGCAGGGCCAGCCTAACAGTTCTCAGCCTGCTCCGTTCAGTGCATCCAGTCAACATACAGACTCAATGAGAAAACCTGGCCAGAACTTCATGTGTCTGTGGCAGTCTTGTAAAAAGTAAATGGCAGTTTTATTTGATTTACAAAAGTATTCTTTGTCGTAGAATGCTTTCATATTTCAGTTTGTGTCACAGTTTTAAGAAATTTTTCTTTTGAAACCACTTTTATCAAAAATGCTTTATTTTAGGAGTTACATTTATGTGGATCCAGTGGCACTTTGACCTAGATTGAAAGAATTTCATTGCTTAATGTCAGTTTATTAATGTTGTTTATAATGGGTCAGCATTAATTTTTAATAAAAGGAAATAATTTAAGAATTAGTATGAAGGCTATGACAAAGTGAGCTATTAAAAGGGAATTGAACTTAAAGGTATCTTTGGAATTACTGTACAATCGAACCTCACAAATGATCTGTTAGGAAGAGAATGACTTGTCTTAAGTTTGTATTGTAATGTTTACTGTGTGAAAATTATTTTTAAAGCCATACCGTGTCACCATTTAATAACAAAGGGGAATAGCAGGTAGACTGAACTTCTTAAAGCATTCTTGACTTGAAGGAAAACTTAAAAATGTTTCTTAAAATAAAATCCTAGTTTCTTTAATATTACCAATACTCAGCTAGGGCCAGGGATTTAGCTCAGTGGTTCTGCCCCCTTCCTTGCAAACATGGGACCCTAGTTCAATCTCCAGTACCAAAAAAACCAAAATAGTAATCAGCCAGTCCCTTTGCTCTGGGTCAGTTTTTTTAGAGCTCCAAGAATAAGATACTTATCTTAATAGAATATTTTTCATTTCTTAGATAGCAAAGATTCTAGTTCCACACCTTTTAAATCTTACGCTAAATATAAAGTTATAATTTTATCTTAGAGATTCTATTTCATTGTAAACTTCATATGCAAATTGGTTTTAGAATTGTGAACTATCAACTTAGCCTAAATATGTAATTGATAGGATACAGAATGTCTGTAGACTATGGTTGTCAAACTTTAACTCTCAACCCAGTACAGGGACATGAATTCATTTTAGTGCATCTTGACCAGTGGTTTTTTGTTTTTCTTTTCAATGGAAAATGAATATAATACATATTACATCATGTTAGTAAGGGTAAGTATTGTTTTCAGTTATATATGTATAAGACACGTTTGTGTACTTGGTTATAATGTAAAATCTATTTATCAAAGTTCTTTAGGTTGTCTCACCTCCCTTCCTGCCTTTGAGACTGGTTCATGCTAGGCAGGTGCTCTATCACTGAGCTGTATATCCCCAGCTTTCAACTGTTTGTTTTCTTACTGTATGTTGTAAGTGAATTTGAAACTTTCTTCACTGAAGTCAGTTTTATTCTTTCCATTTGTTTAGAGGTTTTGTTTCATTTTGCACTGGCAATTAGTACCACAATTGATGGACTACTCTGCCAAAACTGTTTATCAATGCTTAACAACAACAACAACATAAAAAACTCAAGAGGAACTACTTCAGATGAAGTTCCTAATTAAGTACATTAAGAAAAAAGTTTTGGAAGAATTAATGAACCTAAATGTACAACCCAGTTTCCTGTCTGAATAGGCTTGGTGTTAAATAACTTGATGATACACCTTTTCTTTATTTTTTCTGAATAAGAGAAATTCAGTGACGCTTCTTAGAACTTGTTGTTTATTTTAAGCCGTAACTTTTAGATATTGTATCATTAATAAATTCAGTTTGAGTGTACAACTTTTTTTGAGCACTGTTTTAGAGGGGTGCTTGAACTAGGAGATAGAAACTGAAAGATCATTCCCAAACCTTAGGTGTACTCCCAAAACAATAAATTGTTCTGTAAATAAGTGCTATAAAAAGATAGTTTCATAGTGTTATTGGCAGTATAGTGAACTATTAGTGCAACTCTGGAGTGGTTGGGGAAGTTTCACTGTAGACATCACACTTGAGTTGGATTCTAATTCATTCTTATTCAGAGTTTGCCTTGCAAAAAATAATTTCATTCAGAATGCAAGTGTAAGCACAGGAGTTACAAAGGACTTGATATGGCTAGAAAATTGAGAGGTTTCAGTTTAGGATTCTAAGGGAACATGGACAAGAAGAGAACGATAGCTTTTATTTTTCATACTTCATTTTTATTCCAAGTAAAAACATGTCATAGCTACTGTCCACTAGGTGGCGAAGTTCAGACTTCTTTAACATCACATCAAAAATGTTACTTAAAAACTGTTTCATTAGATTTAGATATAAAAATATTTTTCACTGATAAATTATTGAAAAATGTTTAACATTTAAAGTTAAATTAGCTCACCACATACAAGAGCTACAGAATGCTTTCACATAATTAAATGTAACTTTTGAATATGCATTTAACCCATATGATGGGACTACTCTTTCCACAGTCTTTCTACATTTTGAACTCTGATTCTCTGTGCATAATACCGATTCTTTCAGTTAATCCCCTGTATACTATCACTTATCAGTAACTTTTTAAATCTAAGTATGGAAAGTAGGGATACTGCTCTTTAAATATAATCACCAAACCACTACTGCATAACTCTGGAAAACCATTAATTCACTTCAACATTGTGAATTCTTCAAATATCTAGTCAGTATTCACATTTTTCCAGTGACCTTTTGTTTATTTAGAGCTTGATTTGGAATCCAGAATTCAAATGTTGCCAACTGTTGGTAAGTCCCTTATAATCTATAGGATACCTCTCCATTTCTCATAATTTTTTCCTCACAATTTTTTGTTGGAAAAAACATAATTTGTCCTGTAAAGCATCACAATCTAGATTCTTGGTGATGTTGTTTAGCACATTTCGCTGACCCTGTATTTTATGTACATTACAAGTTTGCAGGGCCAGGAATTTGGATCAGGGGTTCTGCCGCTTGCCTCCCAGACACAAAGGCCGGAATTCGATCCCCGGTACCAAAAAAAAAAAATGGTTTGGTAGTTCCACTTGGGTTTTTGATTTGTTTTAATTTTATAAAGACAACTTTAGAAATGGCATTATGTTCTTCCATTAAGACATATATATACATAAAGGCCGGGGATTTAGCTCAGTGGTTCCACCACCTGCCTCACAAGCACAAGGACCCGAGTTCAATCCCCGGTACCAAAAAAACAACCAAAAGACACACACACACACACACACACACACACACACACACACACCTCTCCTTGGCTCATTTTGTTGAAATAGTCACTGATAATCATTGCCTAGAACATTCTTCCCTTATAGGTTATAAAATACAAGTTGCATTTTTATCAAATATTTGGTTTCTCTTAAAAAATATTTCCTACAAGAAAGGCAGAATAGGGCAAGGGATTTAGTTCAATGGCACCACGCCTTCCTCACAAGCACAAAGTCCTGAGTTCAATTCCCAGTACCAAAAACAAAAGGCAGAATAGATGCTTATTGCTTTCGTTTACTAGTTTTCATAGTAATGAGTTGTTTACACTCTGCAAAGATTACCATAAGGTTTGTTTTGTTTGTAATATCATTATGAACCAACAAGAATTGGAACATATTTGAGGCACTTCAGTCCTTCCTCTCTCTTCCCATGTTCTGGGGCTTAACTACATCCTCAGTCCTTTTTAAATTTTTATTTTGAAACAGGATGGTACGAAGGTGTCCAGGCTGAGGTTACAAATGTGCACATTACTTTCGGCTATTATATCCCAAATATGTAAATTTTGCCATCTTTGTCCAGTGAAAGCTATTCAAGTCAGTTTCCAACCTATTTGTTTTCATACTTTAAAGCCGTATTTTATTACATAGAATTTAAATCTATGTCATGACAGAAATACCTTCTCAACTCCTAGATCGAAAAATAAACTTTAGGTGCCTTTGAGTACTTTAATCTTGATACATCTGCAATTAGAATTGATATATAAAATGAGATATAAATCTACCTTATTTTCCAAATTGCTAACTTATAGGCAAGATTGCTATTTTATCTCATTGATCTTATCCTTATCACACTATCACTTTAAACATATCTTAAAGGGCCAGGGATTTAGCTCAGTGGTTCCACCTCCTGCCTTGCAAGAGCAAGGACCCGAGTTCAATCTCCGGTACCTAAAAAAATAAAAAATAAACATATCTTAACATTGCATATGGCACCTTGCTCCTGGTAATTTCTACTTTTCCATCGTGCTTCATGTGATTTATTTTGGCATCAACCTTGTACTAGGCACTGTCCTACATTTTGAGATTAGAATGATGTACAAGCCAAACTTGGTACCTACACAGATATTTATTCTTTTAGAATGCTTCCTAGAGATCGCCAAGAAAGTCATGTTGGGATTTTGGTTGCTGTTGCTTTCAGTATTTGTCAGTGAACATTTTTCCAATATTGAGTCTTCTTATATAAAAGATTCTGCCCATAATTATGTCTTTTATTTCTTTAGTAAAGCTTTCAGCATTTTCTTCACAGGAATGCTATAATTATATTGTTTATTGCTAGCTTTTGTTCTTTTTTGTTGTTGTCATAAATTATCTGAATTTCCATTATATTGTTCAGTTTTCCTGTTTATACCTTGTAAAATTATTCAGTTACCAGTTGTAGAAATAATAGTGGTAATATTCATGCATACTTTTTAGCTAATAGACCCTATATTTTAGAGTAATTTTAGGTTTATAGAAAAACTGAGCAGATAGTGCAAAGTTCTCCTCTGCTCCATCTACCTTAAATATAAGTTACACTATATGAGTGTGGTACATGCTGCAATTTATGAATTAATATTGATAACATTATTACTAACTAATGACCATAGTTTACATTAAAATTCACACAAGGGAGATTCAGCAGGCAAAAATTAGTCATATGATCCATCTCATCAATTATGTTGTACAGCTCTCTGGCTTTTGCCAAAGAGTGTCATCTGTCTACTTCCACTGCCCTGAAAATCCTCTTAACCTATTCATTACTATAGAATCCCTCACCCCCTATCTTGGTAACCACTGCTTTTTTAGTGTTTTATAGGTTTTGCTTTCAGAATCCCATATAGTTGAATCATACAGCATGTCATCTTTTAGTTCTTTTTATTTAACAATATGTATGTAAGGTTTCTTT